CCTAGTCAACCGTTATCTGAGATTTGTTTTCATGATTATCGAATGTAAATAGTTTTATCTCTAAAAACAGTTTAGCCTATAAAGCTAGTATAACGCTAGTATATTGGGCATGGAGTAATGACAAATAAAAATCGCTTGTTAATACCACTAACAAGGCTCAAAATAGCCCCACACTAGCACGGTAGCATAATGAGGGTCCCTACCTTCAAACCGAAGCATTGAGAAATTTGTCAGTGTCCAGACAGTTTAATAAGAAGATATTTAATACATACAGTCAACTTCGCGTATACAGGCAGAAGCCATCTTTGAAAAACAGTCTCTACCAGTTGATCTACGAACGCCGATCCAAGTGCGCTGGTGAGATGTGAACGAGCTATAAGTTGTGATAAGGTGAGCAGCAGGCTTGGATCGGCGTTCGTAGATCTGAACACTCAGAGGAGAACTTTTAAACTTTAGGCTAAATATTTTCTGAATAAATGATAAAATGTCATAGGCTACATGACGTCATATACTCACACTATCAGTGAATCAGCACGAAATAAACTCATAAAAAATAATTAATGAATAAAGGATAACAAGAAACACATAGCCTACAATAACACTAACGGGCACATTTGCTAACCATGTGCAGCACCGATCGCTAACACTAAATAGAGTTTACAGACATAACACTATACATTGTAAAACAATTAATGTGAACAGTCTACAATGATGGTGTGAATTTTATTTTATACCTGTAAAAGATGATATTAATATTTCGACTTTTCTGTCATAACTGACTTATTCGATTTCAACTCAAATTCAATTTAATATGTCAATGTCGACTTTTTGTCATAATCATGGCTAAGGCCCGGTTGATATAGCTATTATCAAACCGTTTCTAATTGGTATTTACTAAAAATGTTATTCATTTCATTATTATTATTATTATTACTATGCAAATCCTGTGCTCCAGAAATTTGCAACAGTGTGAACATGCCTTTAGTACAATACACTTACCAATCTTAAGTACAATGTATTTGTTTAGTTTAACTATTGCATCCACCTAAAAGTTCACAGTACACAGTGTAATGAAGTTAAATCAACTAAGTTTCCAAAGTAAGTTAAATTCACTAGTTTTTCTTAAGTAGATCAGCAATTACTTTTTACAGTGCAGATGTCTTATTTATTGTATCTATGTTTGAATAAATCTGTCATGAAAAATAAGTTGACACCTTTTAAATGTTGTATATTCTGGAATGTAGAAACGTAATTATATTAAGAAGTAAAAAATGTGAACTCTGTCATTAATTACTCCCCCTCATGTAGTTTCAAACCCATAAAACCTTTGTTCATCTTCAGAACACAAATGAAGATATTCTTGAAGAATCCGAGAGCTTTCTCGAATTTGAATACATTTTCTTCATTTTAACATTTAAAGGTGCAGTGTGTGATTTTTAGCGGCATCTAGTGGTGAGGTTGCAACCATCAAAAGTTACGCTGGCCGACAGGAGATGATGTCATCATCTGAGACAGCAAAGAGTAGCCAGTTAAGCAATGAGATTTCTTTACAAAGATAAATTAAGAAATTATGTTTACTTTATTATTCAGTAAAACGATATGTTATTGCGAATATCATTGTGTCAGTGTTTTATTCGCTGACTTTAGCTTGCTTCTTTGCATGAAGAACAACATAGTGATGAAACACGTTTGTCCGTTTAGGGCTACTGTAGAAACATGTCGGCGCAAAATGGCTATTTCAATGTAAGGGGACCCGCAGTCTATAGAAATGGTTCAGTCTAAGGTAATAAAAACATAATGGTTCATAAAGTCTTTATACACCATTGAAAACATAGTTATAATACAGTATATTGTTTATCCTCCTAAATATTACACAATGCACCTTTAAAGGGGTGGTTGATTATGATTTCACTTTTCTAACTTTAGTTAGTGTGTAATGTTGCTGTTTGAGCATAAACAACATCTGCACGACGCTCCAAGTTCAAAGCAAAGGGAGATATTTTTATTTTTTTAAAGAAATTGCTTTTTAAGGACTACAACAAAGGGCTGGTAGGGACTACACACGACATTCATCCCGGGTTAGTGACATCACAAACCCTAACATTTACATAAACCCTGCCCCCGGGAACGCGATTTGTAGATTATCATGACAGAATATGCTCTACACATAAGCTAAATAAAATCATCAACTAACCATTCAGAAATGTTGTCTACATGTTGTCACTTCTTCTTGAGTCTCTCCATCTTTGTCTGACTTCGGTTTGAACATAAAAGGTTTTTAAATTTTCATACGTGTCTGTGTGAGGTAAAAGGACACAAGCTCTTGAAGCTCCGCCCCCTGTGCTGGGAACAGCAGCTTATTTGCATTTAAAGGGACAGACGCAAAAACGGTGCGTTTTTGCTCACCCTCAAAAAATTAACAATTTTAACAAGCTATATAAAAAATATATGTGGGTTATTTTGAGCTAAAACTTCACATACATACTCTGGGGACATCACAGACTTATTTTACATCTTGAGAAAGGGCATTATACCACCCCTTTAATATTATAGTAATGCACAGCATTAAATGAGAGATTGTTTTCCTAAAACAAATTTACATGCACTTGACATGCACTGTACCTGATATCCAAACAAATCGATATTGAATAGAATGAAAATCAAATCGAATCAAGAGCTTGTGAATCAGAAACGATGTTAATACCCAGCCCTATATGTCTAAATCCCTATATGGGATTTAGAATCATTTGATTTGACACACCCAGTGCTTTTGTTAAGCTTTAAAATGTGTCATCTTCTCACAGAGACACAATGAATTCATGCGTTTTTAATAATGCTTCGTGTTCCTCTAAGATTGTGTCTCCCTCAGGGGTTTCTATACAAAGCTCGTTCTATTGGCGGTACCTTGTTGCTTGGGGAAACATGCCTTTGCACAGCGCGCACAGATCTCCATATTGATGTTCTAATAAAAAGTTGTTTATCTGCATACACATTGCCTAAACACTTTCGCCGTCTGTGCTCTCCTCTGTTCTCAGAACTGATGTGGTGCCAAATAAGCAATTTCAGTATCATTGAAACATATGTGCTCACACAGCACCTTAAAATTCATTGAAACGCAGTGGTCAAAGACTCCTGAAGCTATAGAGAGCACAAAGAGGCTGGCTAAGGTGATGTTCAACAATTTCAGGCTTGGCTCCTTCAAGGTTATTATGTAAAGCAGACAGGCAATAAACATGGTAATTTGGTCTCATGGTCTTTTGATGAGAGTAGGAGGTTCATTAAAGAGCAGCCAAGTGCTGTGGGCTAAACTTATTGGCTTGAGTCGAAATTTGGAGCAAATTATCCTTGTCTCCCTATCCAGCTGCAGGAACCACTGGTGTTTACAGCACAATAGCAGACAAACCGATGCAAAGTACCCTCGAGGAGATAACCTCCAAACTCCCTCAATGCACAGAACATGAAGGCTTGCTTTCCTAATATTCGCGGCTCATTAAAATCCTATCTCCCATCTACAGTCCACCTCTAGATATTTTGGACAGCTGAAGAGAGCAAGGACTTAGACTAAGAATTCTGAGCTGTCAGTTTTCTTTGGACAAAAAGCCATTAAGGTTGAGGCGGATGCTCTTTCTGTCTCCTCTAACACCCTAAATCTGTCCCAGCTCTGTAGTTCTGATACTCTGGGAATGCTTCACTGAATCTTTCTATATCTGTCTGGATTTTAGAGTAAACCCACTAAATCTGTGTGAATAACCCTGATTTCAATATTGCTAGTTGCAAGCATTCCACTGTATGTCACTGTCGCGGGTGGTTGCAGGAAGGCAGACGAAGATGAAGATTTATGAGAGTTTAATGAGGGTAATACAAATAATACTCAGACAGACAGGGCAACACACACTAAATGTAACGTAGACCAAACACAGAATGAATGTGAGGCATCAACTCATATACTGTAGCAACACACAAACGAGTATAATTAATAGAACACAAGAACACAAATGAGGAGCAACAGAGGAACACATGTTGAGAATGAAAACAAACTAAAAGTCCATGATAATGACACAGAACATAATGGTAACAGTCACAAGTTTTTAAATTATGTTGAATTATGAACTACATCTCATGATAATTATGTTAAATTATGAAATTCAATTCCTGTAAAATGGGTAGCAACAGACTGTAGTAAAATGGGCCTTGAAGGACGTTCATATTAATTTGAATGTACCATTTAAAAATTTGGGGCCAGTAACATTTAACAAGGACACATTAAATTGACCAAAAGTGAGGACACATTAAATTGACCAAAAGTGAGAGTGAGACAAAACATTTTAAAATGAAATGCTGTTCTTTTGATCAACAACCATTTACAACATCGATAATATCGGTAATAAGAAAAGGTTTTTTGTTTTTTGTTTTTTTTTGAGCATCAAATCAGCATATTAGAATGATTTCTGAAGGATCATGTGACACTGAAGTTAAGAATTTAAAATACTTTCAACTTTCTTATGCCTTTCCAAACAAATGTGTGGCAAATATGCTTGTGGCAAAGAATAACTAGCAGTAATGATTAACTAACATGTACTGTCCAAAAACTTGTGAAGCTTTCCAGGGAACCCACATGTTCTCCTTAGAATCCAGTGTGTTTAATAACAAAGGATTATCAGATTATCAGAATACAAACCACAAGGCTAATGAACTCTTGCTAACTGTAGGAATAACAATCTTGGCATAAGTTTTCAAAGCTATCTGGAGCAAGTCTACTGAAGTAACAGCACATAATGTAATACAAAGGGAGGGATGGCATATGGAATCTTATCAAAGGCATTTTCTTTAAACCGTCTTGAGAATATGTTTCTGTGATGTGATTCCTCAATGAATGGTTTCTCTCTCATTGTTCTACTTCTGCCTGTTTTTTCTTTTGCTCATTCTTTTCAATTGATCTCATTTCCTTTGAGCAGAGCCTTCTGTCCACAGTGCTGAAAATAAACCAAAGGAAGACTCACCTGTCTGTCCAGCTTCTGTTGTCGCAGGGTCGTCCCCTCATCATCCAAGGTACTGCAGAAGGACAAAAACAAGATTCAATGGGGAAAGCTCACAAAAAAGATGTGCCACAGCAAGAGTAGCGCAGAGATACGATTCAAACAAGCTTTTGTGTACACAAAATTCCAGTCCACTCTCAAGAGAATACATTTACTGATACAATTCCCTGCTGTTCATGTCCTTCACTAAAGTCTTCTGCACAAAACATGGCATCAGTATTCAGTATAACTTATCTTATCTCATACAGCATCATTAAAAGAGCTGATGTCTAGCGACTCCAATATAATCATATAAATAAATCAGCAATTTGGTCTCAATTTACTGGCCATTAAACCTAGAATATGGGCAGAAAAACAGTATGTAAATGGTACGTATGAACATCATTTTTTCAAAGGACAGACTGCTGCTGTGTTGATCATGCCTATGACTCATTGTGCTCTTTCAGGTCCTGTGAGGAGGGAGGTCTCTGGTGAGACCTTTGTGCTCTGCCTGTCCCTCCTCTCGTTCCCTTTAATCAGCTATGACACATTCACTCCAGATCCCCTTATGCATTTCTGCTGCCTGTTATTGCTGAGCCAAAAGCTGTGTTAATTAAATGGCAATGGAGGGCTTCCTCTGTGGCTGTGGTGGGTCATGCGGAGAGAAGAAGTGTGACAGATCAACGGTGGTGTGGAAAAGGATTTGTGTTCTGTAATCTGTAATGCACAACCAGGGTGTAACTTTCAACATGTGGTAGGAACATATTTTATAATCAGAATAGAGAGCTGCACATGTACAAATACGGCTTATAAATTAAGAATTCTGCTATCTGTTTTATCCGTTTTGATTTGGCTTCCCTCTGGATGTCATCAGACAATACAAAACAATTATAAAAAGATTTACAGCAGTTTGGGTTCAGAACACCACAGGCATTTTACTCATTTGACTTTATAAAACACACACAAACATGCTACTTAGATGCTCTTATTTTTACTTTCACTATAATAAAATATGTTCAAACACAAAAATTTGAAGAATATGAAAACTCTAAGCTCTTTGACAGCTAGTTTATTTAATACAGATTTTTTTATTTTAATTATTGTACTGTATATTGGGGAAGTTGTTATTTTCACCCCAAGTAACATAAATGGTATATAATAACAGTAGATAATAATAGTAGGTTACATATAGTACAAAAAACATATTATGTTGTGCTTTGAGAGGACAATAGAATAACATTTAGAACAATAGATAGATAGAATGACAAGCAGACAAACTAGACAGAATGAGCGACAGACAGGCAGACTAACAGAAAGATACAAAAATAGTTAGATAGAACTATAGATAAAACGACAGAACGATAGAATGGCAGAACGACAGAAGGAGATTGACAGTGCAGGTAGATAGATAGATAGATAGATAGATAGATAGATAGATAGATAGATAGATAGATAGATAGATAGATAGATAGATAGATAGATAGATAGATAGATAGATAGATAGATAGATAGATAGATAGATAGATAGATAGATAGATAGATAGATAGATAGATAGATAGATAGATAGATAGATAGATAGATAGATAGATAGATAGATAGATAGATAGATAGATAGATAGATAGATAGACAGACAGACATTTTGGCTACGTTGTACAACAGTATGGCGTTGGCTACTTTCAAACCAGTAGCATACCAACCAGCATGGAAATTCATGTTGCTCTAAGCTCGACTTTTCAAGAGGATTATCTCTTTCTCCCTCTCTCGCTCAGAAGGATCTTCCAGCGCCCAACTAAAAGTCTCTACTTTCCTATTTAAACCTGAGAAATTTCATTCTTTATAGACTACCAACACTGACACCATTTCTATCACACATGCACATGGGCACAAAATCATTCAGAAATACAGACACCTATTATTCAGTGCACTCACGAGTCACAAACTGACACAAACCGCAGGATCCAGAAATAGTAATGCGTACTTGCACACATTCATGACCCCCCTCCTAAAGCTAAAATACATGCACACATGCACAAAGCATAGTGCCTAATGTCAGCAGTCAAGGGTGTCAGTTCCCATCAGAATGGCAGATAATGACATAAACAGAGCGCTTCTAATGAGGGTCAACAAGGGATGAGAGAAAAATTGATATGTGCTGACAGCTGCCTACAATATGCGGGAGAATTTCTCTCCCTCACCATCAAGCTTCACTGATGACAGTGACAATTCACTTTGTGTGTCTTTGTGTGTTTAATGCATGTGGGTGTTTCACTGTATGTGTGTATTGGAATCAGAAAGTAATGTTTGCCAATTTGTATTCTTTACTTTTACCTGTTAATTCTCAAACAAAACAAAGTACAAATGCACTACAGCAGGGTTTCTGAGGTGGCTGAACAATTAATCAAAATAAAACTAAATTAGTGATATAGCTTCGTGTAAAGGCTGCGATTTAATTAAGTATATAGTCTGTTGTGCTGCGTGTGTCAGAGTGAAGAGCAGCACTTACAAAACAGCGATGACCTGAAGGAATGTTCAGGCATTAAAGTACCCTATAATGGTTTTTCGAATATTCCCTTTCATGCAGTGACATTTGTATCTAAAGAAGATACATTTGCATAATTCCCACCTATGTTGTACGTTATCCGCCCGCGAACAACTTGCTCGTGAAAGATGGGCCGTACCCAGTTTATTTGGACCAGCTTGCTCCTCAGAATCACAACTTGTATGTAGGGGTGGGCGGTATGACCAAAATTCTATTTCACAGTATGACTAATTTTATTTCACGGTAACGATATATTTCACGATATAGTTATTTATATATGTAGTTATTCTCGAAAAAACGACAAAAAGGGCTTTGTATAATAAATAAACCCAAATAATTTAGAAATGAAAAGTACTTCACCTTGTTTGATTTTTCTTTTATTTGGTAAATTATTTCTTTGGTAACCTATTTTGATGGCTAAATATAGTAAACAAAACACACTCATCAACTTTTAGATGAACTGTCCCCCAACTGATTGATATTAAATACAACTCATAGGTACAATTAAACTTTAAATAAAGTGTTGCTGAATAATTTTTCAATCTCATGTTATTGCTTTACTTCATCAATCAGTTTATAATATCTGAATATTTTATATTGAACTAATCTGATCATAATACATTAGTTACTTACTTTTAATTTTGTAGGATATTAGTAATACTAGTTGTTTAAATGTGTTCCCCGATACATTTTTGCCATGTCTGCTTATACACTGAGTTTTTAAGGGGCTTGTTTTGCTCTTTTGTGATATCTGGCAACCCGTCACCCTGAGCTTTAAAGTCCCCGTGAACCGGAAGTTGCAAACGACTTTTCTCCAGTGTTGTGACGTATTTCCGAGAGAAACGGAATACTAAATGAGGCAAAATAGTGGGCGTGGCTTTTTTCCAACTAGCACCTGATTGGATCTAGAAAAGTAGGTGTTTTCATTCAGCCTGTCTACTGTCAGTTGGAGGGGCGTGGTTACGGATGTTAAGCAGACACCCAAACCGTCAAACCTGCTTCATCAGGGAAGGTCCTCCAATGCAGAGGGGAGGGGAAATTTCAGATTACGAAGCCAAAAAATTTTTTGTGTGGATTGACTTGCATGGATGAATTGTTCACCACAAAACGATCAATTTAGGCAAACAAAGTATGTATGGTCAATTTTGAATTCATGGGGCTTTAATCAAGAGAAGTTCAGAAGTGACTAGAAGGAGAGCAGCAGTATGCAAACCGAATAGCAGCTACTGTTAGTGTTGACTAAGTAGCCTAGTTTAAATTATACACACCTTGTAACAGTGCGTATTTTTTTTTACCACAGCCCGGTGAACACTGACACACCACGGTCCCTCTCAGTGCGTGTGCACGCGCGCGTATTCTGCATCAGTAAAACGCGATTGGTTAATTTGAGTGTCAAGTTGTAATCACGTAGCGAATCAAAGTAAAATTTTAATCAGCTGGTTCAGTGGCCAATTGTTTTTAGTTAGAAATATATAACTCGCGCTGCATATTTAGTCATTTTGCCTCAGATACAGGATTATACTAGCCTGGCTAACGCCAGACCCAATTCTCGTTGAGACTTGGGTCTGGGAACCACATGTTCATTTTCTCGTATTTGAGGCGTGGTTTACGAATGCCCAGAGCCGTTTATTGGGTGCTACGAATGTCTATCAAATGCGCCTGTACGTAGCTTATAGCCAATCGTTTCGATTATACCAGATGACGTATGTAGAGCGACAGAAATTAGACGAGGGAGACGACGATGGCCGATGGGTCAGAGATTTATGTGTAGCCTACACGATGGCGTGGTCGGCGTGCATGTTAATCAATGAGTGCATTCACACCGGGAGCAGCGCGTGAGCGTCGAGCAGGAGCGGCGCGTGAGCAGCAGTGAAGCGGGGGTTTCGACGTCGAATCTGTTTTTGCTGCATTGCTCACGCTAAATTAAAGTGAAAGCACACTTTTGATGGACAAAAATAAATATGATTTCACACAAAAGTGCCCAAAATGCACATATTTAGCATGTCTAGTGAGTTTTAACAAGAACTTGAGTAGGCAAATAAAAGAAAATAAAGACTCTAAAATATTTAGAAGATTTAGGCTACCCGGTAAAAACTTGTTTTTAATTATTCAGTTTAGGTGAAAGTTGTGTATTATATATATATATATAAAACTAAAGTAAACTATCCAGAAAATATTATATATAAACGTTCTTTTAGTTCATGTAACGTTAACACACAGACAGCTACAGGCTAGCACCCAAATCAAACCCGAGTGTGTGGTTTATTTGTGTTTTGTTTTCATCCGCGGTCCGGAGTTGCAGTCTTGTAAACATCGAAAGTATGACTGAAACTAATAGATTGGAGCCATTTTCTGGGTTGTTTTGTTGTATAACATATAACCTATATGCGAATGTTGTACACCTACCCATTACAAACTTTCAAGACTATCAATGTTATAAAATGACCAACTTCTAAAAACAAATGTATAGTTGTCTTTGTAAAGAATTGCTCGCTT